ATCAACACAGCAGACCACTGTTGACCCTATCATACAGCAACCACGTTGCCCTATCACACAGCAGACCACTGTTTCCCCTATCAACACAGCAGACCACTGTTGACCCTATCATTACAGCAGACCACGTTGCCCTATCAACACGCAGACCACTGTTTCCGCTATCAATACAGCAGACCACTGTTGCCCCTATCAACACAGCAGACCACTGTTGCCCCTATCAACACAGCAGACCACGGTGGCCTCTATCATTACAGCAGACCACTGTTTCCCCTATCAACACAGCAGACCACTGTTGACCCTATCATTACAGCAGACCACCGTTGCCCTATCAACACAGCAGACCACTGTCCCTATCAACACAGCAGACCACTGTTGACCCTATCATTACAGCAGACCACCGTTGCCCCTATCAACACAGCAGACCACTGTTGCCCCTATCATTACAGCAGACCACTGTCCCCTATCAAACACAGAGACCACTGTTGCCCCTATCAACACAGCAGACCACTGTTGCCCCTATCAACACAGCAGACCACGGTGGCCCCTATCAATACAGCAGACACACTGCCCTATCAATACAGCAGACCACCGTTGCCCCTATTAACAAAGCAGACCACTGTTGCCCCTCATTACAAAGCAGACCACCGTTGCCCCTATCAATACAGCAGACCACGGTGGCCCCTATCAACACAGCAGATCACTGTTGCCCCTATCAACACAGCAGACCACTGTTTTCCCTATCAACACAGCAGACCACTGTTTCCCCTATCAACACAGCAGACCACTGTTGACCCTATCACACAGCAGACCACCGTTGCCCTATCAACACAGCAGACCACTATTGCCTATCATTACAGCAGACCACTGCCCCCTATCAACACAGCAGACCACTGTTGCCCCTATCAACACAGCAGACCACGGTTGCCCCTATCATTACAGCAGACCACTGTTTCCCCTATCAACACAGCAGACCACTGTTGCCCCTATCAATACACCAGACACTGTCCCCTATCAACACAAGAGACCACTGTTGCCCCTATCAACATAGGAGACCACTGTTGCCCCTATCAACACAGCAGACCACTGTTGCCCCTATCAATACAGCAGACCACGGTGGCCCCTATCAATACAGCAGACCACTGTTGCCCCTATCAACACAGCAGACCACTGTTCCCCCATCAATACAGCAGACCACGTGCCCCTATCAACACAGCAGACCACTGTCCCCCCTATCAACACAGGAGACCACTGTCCCCCCTATCAACACAGCAGATCACTGTTGCCCCTATCAACACAGCAGATCACTGTTGCCCCTATCAATACAGCAGACCACTGTTGCCCCTATTAACAAGGCAGACCACTGTTGCCCTATCAACACAGCAGACACGTTGCCCCTATCAATACAGCAGACCACTGTTGCCCCTATCAATACAGCAGACCACTGTTGCCCCTATCAACACAGCAGACCACTGTTGCCCCTATCAATACAGCAGACCACCGTTGCCCCTATTATACAGCAGACCACTGTTGCCCCTATTAACAAAAGCAGACCACGTTGCCCCTATCAATACAGCAGACCACGGTGGCCCCTATCAACACAGCAGACCACTGTTGCCCCTATCAACACAGCGGACCACTGTTACCCCTATCAACACAGCAGACCACTGTTGCCCCTATCAATACAGCAGACCACTGTTGCCCTATCAACACAGCAGACCACTGTTGCCCTATCAACACAGCAATCACTGTTGCCCCTATCAACAAAGCAGACCACCGTTGCCCCTATCAACACAGCAGACCATAAGGACTGAGAAGGAGACCCCAGAATGCGTGCTAAGTTTAGACTCGAGAGGCAATACTTCACTTGAAATGGACTACTGCTGGCTCTAGGATAACTTCGGGAAATAAAGTGTCTCTTATCTCGTTGATATTCGGCATCAGAGGGAGATTAGGAAGAAAGTGATGATGGAAAGTTTTGTATGATTTTTTTTTTTTTTTTTTTTTTAAATCTACAAGGCTGATTTTTACTGTATCCTGTTGCATTTTATGAAATAGAGGTTTGATGTTGAAGGTAGACTCTCACTATGGGAGGGAAATCTTTCAATATTTAAATGAGGTTAATGTATAAAGATTCTTTTCATATAATGTCCATGATTTATAACCATGGTTCGAAGCTTTTTTCATTCTTTTTCATCTCCCGACCAATATGTAAAACCCCATGGCCCTGTTCACAGTGGCTGTCACCTTTTCAGATTCATTGTTACTAGTTATGAATGATGCAATAGTGTCATTAGTTACAGGACAAAACACTACAAGGAAGATTCCAATTTATTGATATGTGAAAGATACTTATATGTAGGTATTGGAGGTAAGATAGAATTAGTTTAATTCACGTTTAATTCTGGACCCCCAGAAAGTAATCCGTGGTCCCCAGGTTGGGAGCCCCTGCTTTATATGGTTGAATATTGATTATTTTACTTTTTTTTCTTCTTTTTCGCTA